TGTGAAGAAGACAAAAAACCAGAGGACTTTGGGTACCAAATCAGTGCATGACAGACGAAGAGGAGGAATACAATCCATGCACAACATCCACTTTGGGCAGTGCTTCCTACCTTTACCTGAGGCAGTTTTGCTAATATAATTTTAAAGTTAAAAAAAATATCTCAGAATGTGTATGTATTTTAAAAAAATATTTTGCAGCTTGAGTTGACTTTGTTCTTTCATTGAAAGTAAATTATTAAAAGAATAATTATAAGACTCACGGTGCATGTAAAATCCATCAGGAGTTCTGTGGAACCCTCTTGACACACGCAAGCTAAGAGGAGAAGCTTTACTTAGTCTGGTACAGCAAGTGTTGAATTTCTCATACAGGGGGATTCTTGGAGCTTATGTTCTGCCTAAGCCCTAACAAACAGTATGCAAATTAATTTTTGCAGGACTTTGTGATTAGGCAGTCAATGCTGGAGACAAGCTTTCATGTTGGTGCGGGTCCTCCTGCTCCAGCACTGCTTTAGAAAGTGCACCCACTGATGTTTTGGCAGCAGCAATCAACTCACAGAGCCTCATCCATGTGGGCAGCTTCCCTCACTCATGACTCATTAGCCTGTTGGATTTTTCACCTTTTGTAATAACTCTTGCAAAGAAAGAGATTTCCTCCTGCAGAACACCTGCAGGAGACTTGTGCCACAATACTGAGAAAGGGGGCAAGATTTAATCCAGCCTCATCATTTCAATTCATTGCAGAGATCATCTTCCAGCCCAATGCACACACTGTGAGCTGAATCAACCCTGGTTCCATGTTAAGTCTTTTTGTGGATGCTGGATCGAGCCCTTTGCACCTCTGCTAGCTGGCAGATTGTAGGGATATTTGGGAGACAACCTGTAAGGACTGGATGAGGAAGAAGGGATTCCTTCCCACAAAAAGCAAACCCAGTTCTGGGAAGGAACCAGTCTCTGGTGTGTGTTGGCGACTTGCTGGCAGAAGAATGCAGTCCCGTCTAAATGGTGAATGTGGAACAGGGCAGTGTGAGAGCACCCTCCCTTGCTGGTCTGGCCTGTGAAAGGCTGATGCATTGAGGTGATCCCATCCAGGGATTCAGGCAAACTGAGCCTTGGATTGGCTGTCTTGGTTCCCTCACAGGGCAAAACCTCATCACTCTTGGAAGAGACATTCAGTGACATGTGGGTGGAACAAAAACTGTTGGCAAGAGCTGTCTGATGGGGGAAGCCCTGAATTTTGGTCCTGCTGTCAGCAGGATACTGCTCATATCTGGTGCTTCCCTGGGATCTGGCTGGAGACCCACACAGCACTGGTGACATGGGAGCAGATCACCTTTCTGCCACAAGTTTCAGACCTCTCCTTTGGAGCTGCATGGGGCCCTGCAGCTTGGCTCTCAGTGTTGAAAATTCTGGTCACTGTTCACAGTGGTGCAGTACAGGGTGGCTCTGTAGCTCAGACATGCTTGGTTAAATGACTTTCCTAGAAGATTCTACAATATCTTGTACCTCGATATATATATAAAATATAAAATAATTATATATATAATATAAATATATAATATTTGTAAGATATTTGATATAAAATGTATTGAAGTATATAAAAATACATTATCTAGAATGTATATAAGAATATATACTAATAAATTTTTTTAATGTATATGTAAATATGTATATGTGTGCATATATATATATATATATATTTAGGCAGACTTCAGGGAAAAGAAAGTTTCAAGGAGGAGCCAGCCCTCTATTTCACTATATTACACATTTAATTCCTTTCTACTGCTTGCTGGTATGCTGCAGAGATGTACACCTCAAATCAAAAGTATTCCTTCCTTCCTCAACCTTGCCGTGTAGAGGCTGCAACAAATGATAGACCAAACACTCTCTTCTTTCCTCTTCACTCCTGGGACAACTGCCCCCATTATCAAACAAGACTCTGACCTTTTGATCCATCCATCTTGTCTCCTCCACAGAGTCTGGGCTGAGCTACAGTCCTTTATTTATTCACGCAGTGTAGGTTTCCTCATGCTGCTTCACCAGTGCACATCAACTGTGACCTCAAGACACTATCCTCTCCTGGGATAAGCATGTTTTTCAGTCTCAGGCATCTCTGGAGTAAAGACTGACAGTTCTTTAAAGGAGGGGGGAAAAAGCAGGTGGGAGGAATGACAGGCTGAAATACATTTTGGTTTAATAGGATAAAATGGAGCTTGATGAAAGTAACTCAGTCTGCAAGTCACCAGGCCAAGAACATGATTTTAATGCAGTGCTTTCCTTTAACTAGTACCTAATGTAGTGATATTTTTGATTGTGGAAAACGCTTTAGCCCTTCAGCTATTTTCCTTATCCCATCCTTCTTATCACATGCAGAAACATCTTCAACTGTATTATTTTTAGGCTAAGGTCTGTAAAATTCACTAGCTACCGAACAGAAGCCTTACTGGTAGTGCTGAGGGGCACTGATTATAAGTGACAGCCCACTGGTGCAGAACAAACCCATTTTGTTTCAAGTGGCCCAAGAAAGAGACCTGGGAGTGGAGCCCCCAGCATGGGCACACAGACCAGACGCTTGGTTCTCCTCTAGCAGGTAAGTAGTGATGATTTACTCACTGGTCCAGGTGAAGTTTAAAGATCTGGGGAGAGAAGGTTCACTGACTGGCTGTACACCATGAAACTCCATCTCAGGCTGGAAATAGGTCTGCAAATGAGGGTCCTGCTACAGCCCCAGTGGCGGGCAAGAGACAAACCTGTGTTGCCTCACTGCATCCTGTCACTCCCATGTGCAAGGAGGCTAGAACACCCAGTCTGAGGGAAGATTTTGAAACTGGAGTGGAGTACACTTGCTGGGAGATGTGGCGCACTGACTTTCAGCCACCTGAGCACGCCTCCAGGCTGGAGAGCAATTGCTGAAGACAGGCAGTCCCCTCCAGCTGGTGGGATGTAAGAGTCTTCATTTCCCTGCTCTCTGTTTCCACAGTGCTTCACGATGGGCATGCATAACTTCGCACTACCCAATAGCAGCTCAGGGCACTGCTGCTTATGCATGAGGGAGGGCAGGACCAGGCTGCTGAGAGTGCTGAAGGAAGGGCCCTCATCGGTCCATCCACTCATCAGCTTGCTCAGCCGCCTCTTTCATCACGTGAACTTCATGAGGTTCAACAAGGCCAAGTGCAGAGTCCTGCAAGTGGGTCAAGGCAATCCCCGGTATCAATACATGCTGGGGGACAGAGGGATTGAGAGTAGCCCTGAGGAGAAGCACTTGGGGGTACTGGTGGATGAAAGACTGGACATGAGTGGGCAATGTGCACTTGCAGCCCAGAAGGCCAATCGTATCTTGGGCTGCATCCAGATGAGCATAGCCAGCAGGACAAGGGAAGTGATTCTTCCCCTCTACTCTGCTCTAGTGAGACCCCACCTGGAGTACTGTGTCCAGCTCTGAAGTCCTCAGTACAGGGAAAGACATGGACCTGTTGGAGAGGTTCCACAGAAGGGCCACAAAAAGGATCAGAGGAATGGAGCACCTCTGCTATGAGGAACGGTTGAGAGAGTTGGGGTTGTTCAGCCTGGAGAAGAGAAGGCTCCATGGAGACCTTATTGTGGCCTTTCAGTTCTTTATAAGAAAGATGGGGACTTTTTAGCAGGGACTGATGCAACAGGATGAGGGGTGACGACTTTAAAAGAGGGGGGATTCAGGCTGGACATGAGGAAGAAATCTTCTACAATGAGGGTGGTAAAACACTGGCACAGATCGCCCAGAGAGTTGGTAGATGCACTGTCTCTGGACATATACTGTGATTCTATGATCTCCACCAGGTTGTTCAGCTCTTTCCTGAAACCCACCAGCATGACAGCATGACCCCCTTAGGCAGCTCGCTTCTGTCTCCTTGTCAGCTTTACCATTTTAGGGTCTTTTTCCTTAGTGGCTCAGTTACACATTTCTTTCTGTTCTTTAAATGCATGTTTTGCTGTTCCACTGACTCCCATATTAATAACAGAATTTTTACTTTGCACGTTATTTATCCAGATGCCTTTCCTCTTGAAAACAGATCAGCCTTTCCTTGATAGTTGCATTATCTTGGCCCTCTGAATCACCTCCAAATTCTCTAAGGGGCCCTCTACAGCAGATTTGCCCTCTTTTGCTGTGCAAAGCCTGACATAAAGTAGTATTTGAGCTGATGTCTTAACCTGCCATGACCTAAGTAGGCTTGTGGTTATTGCTCCAGTTTTTGTATGTTTCTGCAGTTATGTTGTTTCCTTTAACACAGCATTGCTGCCTCATGGTCAGCAGCTTATGGGATCTGCACAGCAGCACTGATCCCTGGTCACTCAGATCCTGGCATTCATCTGCAATGTTGCCAGGAATTCCTTCATCCAGATCCCATCTGCTTTCAAGTGTTCTTTTTCTCTTCATATGCTTCCAAATACACCACTCTCCTGTGCTTTTACTCACTGTCTTGCAACAACAAGCAAGACATGAATCAGAGCAAGGGCCAGGTTAGGTATCTGCAGGAGCTGGAAAGAAAGTCAAGAGACGTTTCAATCAAAAATGTATAATCTGGTGCTTGCAAAAGTTACTGCCAGTGACAGGCACAAGTCACAGTCTACAGTCAGGTGTCTGCGGGTCAGAACCATAGAATCGAGCAGGTTGGAAAAGACCTTGAAGATCATCAAGTCCAACCGCTCCCCAGCACTGCCAAAGCCACCACTAAACCATGTCACTAAGGGTCTCGTCTATATGCTTTCTGAACACTCCTAGGGATACCAGTCCTTATCACACAACTGTACAGTGAAGAAAATGGTGAGGCCACCACAATTTCACTGAGCCATTTTTACCTTAACCACCCCCCCCCCCCCGATTTATTCAGTATTAGCTTGAAAAACAGTGGAGGAAACACATCTTGAAGACAAGATGCAAAATTCAGCATACAAGAAAATATGAGTTTTAATGTTAGGGTACAGCCTTTTCAAGAATGGAATTAGTATTTTCTTCATTTTTTTATTATTTTTATTAGGGCTAAAAATGATTTACTTTTTCAGTATTGTGAGGAACTTTTCAATCAGGTGATCACTGAAATTAAACTTCGGTTGCCAGCAAGGACACACACATAAGCAAAACAGGGCATTAGGTTCTCAAGTATATTATGCAGGTGTAGCTCTACTCCAGCCACCTCTGAGATGAGGTGATATGGTCACTAAAATACCAGTGTTCTCACTGGCAACTTTGCCAAACAAAAAGCTGATGAATTCAGGGAGTACCAGCAAAGAATACTACTGTCAGAATGATAATCCTGAACTGTTTCTAGTGTACCTGTATCAGTTTCTCAGATGCCCTTAAATTAGCACAGGTTACAAATGCTTTCCAATTTTAAAACACAACTGTAGCCAAAGGCCTATGTCTTAGTAAAATTAAGAGAGGACATGCACTTTTCTGAAACTGAGTTGTTAGTTACTATCAATTGCTTAGCAAAAGGAGTGGTATAGGATGGAGCAGGCCGTGAGTCATAATTTCCTTTTCAAAACCAGGAGAATCTCTTGCCAGAGGTGACATAGTTTCAGCTCATGAAAGAGAAGAAAACTGGTTTGAATTATGCTTAGTAATGTGAGAAAATGTGAAATAAAGCTACATTTTTTTATATTCCTTGTGAAGTTTTATTTAGGTTGCTCCTTTGATTAAGCACTTCTTCTTACAAAGCTTTTAAACACATTTAATTCCAGTGTACAAAAATACCTGTCTTTAAAAAAATTACTAAATTTTAACACAGTATGTCTGGAACCAAATAAATCTTTCATACTCTATCTTTTCACCAGAAATAACTTCCACGTCAAGGGGAACAGGACATATTTAATTTGAGATGTAAACTCTGTTCTCAGCTGCTTTCTCCTGCCCTGCTGACTAGATGGCAAAGAGAGGGAATGGGTCTGTGCAACAAAAATTGTGGCACTGGGGGTGATGGATCCACAATGGAGCATGAGGCAGAAGACTGTCAAATCCCAAAGTGCAAGCCAATGACTTTGCAACACCCTCATTCTGGGAGGGACTGAAGTGAAACAGTGCCCAGCTGCAAGCTGGAAAATACTGAGTGGCTGCAGGAAACATGCTTTATATCCACATCTCTGGTCTGCATTCCAACTTCTAACATGAGAGTCTTTCCACTGTCAGCTCCAAAGGCATTGTGTTCCCTAGCAACACATCCTGCTCTGGCAGGCAGAGCAACACCTCACTGATGAAAAAACAAAAGCTACCAAACCAAGCACAGCCCCTTTTACCTCCATATCCCCCCCCTGAAGCAAAGAAAACAAACTTACAGCCTATACTGGGACTGCTGGAAAGTACAGCCACTCCAGGCACAAGCACTAAGGCCGCCTGTCAAATGGCCAGTTCATGACAGACAGAGCACTCCCTTCTGGGAACAGAATTAAGTGTGTGACTTGTGCCTGGGCATGCCCATGTGGGTTCAGGGACAGACTCAAATTCAGTTGTACTAAGAGAGGGACAAAAATAAAGAGAAGATGGAACTGGAGTCAGTAAATGCCAGTGCTACATATCTACTTCCTTATTACCAGGAAGAAGACCTCTTCTTCTTCTGTTTTATGAGAAATAAATCCCCAGTGTTACCAGCAGTAGCATCTTTCCGCTTTTTCCATTTCTTCTTTCTTTTAGCACCTTTCAGAGACTCCTGCGTGTAAGCAGTCTTGCTGCCTGAGAATGCCTTGAAAATGGACTTGTGATGGATTTTGCTGCCCTTACATGCCTGCCTTTTACACCCTCTAGGGAAGTCCTCTTCCAGGTTGTGGCTGATTTCAACATCACTCCTGTATTTCTCTTCTCTGTGTTTCTCTGCCTGGGACATCTTCACCCTTTTGTGACACTTGCCATCTTTCTTATGTTTCCGATGTTCTTTCCAAGACTTGTTCTTTTTCTTACAGCTGTGCCCCTCATGTTCCTCCTCCTGCCATGGTATCTCTGGCTTTTCAGGCAGAAGGCCAGCTTCATATAGTTCTGTAAAACAGAGCAGTGCCTTTTAATATGCATGCAAAACACCTAAAACATAGTGCTGAAGCCATCACAGCTGTCCTTGTGTTTTTATGAAGTTAGTTAGACAAAAATTCATCTCTGGTAGATTTTTTCATAGTATTTTTTTTTTCTGTCAGTAGACTAGAATCTTAACAAGTTACATTTTAATCCTCTTCTGGCTAATTTATATCATTTTCAATCTCAGTGGATTTTTTAGAATTAAAGCATCTGACCACATCTACCTTGTGACTTTGACACAGTAAATTTCCATGATAGTCAGGGTTGAATAAAGTCACAAATCTTATACTACTGTTAAGACTACCTGCAAATCCCTATAGCCTTCCCAAACTGTGAAAGTAATCCCACAAAATTTCTGGAAACATTAAACAGAGAAAAAAAGTATTTTGAAGAGCTGAAAGGCAGGAGAGATCTCTCAAAACATACTGTACCTGCAACCTTTCTTTTTAATCTGTTTGCCCTTCTCTTGATATCGTATTCATCATCATAGTAGCAGATGAATGGAGAAGAAGGTAACATGCTTCCATGCATCCGCCTTTCTGAGCACTCCTGCAAAACACATTTCAAGTCACTAGATGTGGCTGAGCTGTCTGGAAGGAAAATCAGTCAGATTCTGGAGATGCTGGTCTGCACCTGTGGAGGATGTGGCCAGCAATTGTTTAAACACTGATAATTCTGTTAACATCCAATAACCCTTCCTGTGCACACAGAGAAACACACATAAAATAAGCCAAGCTGCAGTTCTCTCGTAGCAAATGGAAGGAATCCTATGTCTTCCTGCAGTTCCTACACATCTGCAGGACCGACAGAAGCAGAGGTCTAGAAGGAGGTGAGTGCTCGGTAAATATGAGGCGGACTGCAAGCAGAGCTGTAGCATCTGGAGCATCGGGCTGTCCTCCCTGCAGCCAGGACAGGTCCTCCCACCACCAGCTGCTTCCTGGTCTCCACATGTCCTGTCTCCTTGAAAGGAAAATGCTTCTTATTGCAGGGAATCTCTTTTAAACTACATCATTTGGGCTGGAAGTATGTGCAGAAATGTGGCAGACTGCAAGGGTGGGATTGGCTGAAGGGGAAGTAAGCAGTGATAAGGAGCTGGGCGCAGCATCCTCCCCACACTGTCCACATGCAGACAGCGTGGCTGCTGCAGTTTTCTCATAGATGTAATTGAAAACCAAATCCTACAGGTGAGTGCTGTGCAAACACATCAGATCGTAGGAAAGTGGAAGAGAGCCCGAAATCATCATCTGCTTTGAGGAAGCGGTTGGCTCTTGTATCATGTGCATGTGAGCCTATTCCCAAACACTTCATTCAGCAGTGTGGATTATTCCACTGCTGTACACAAAGTTTTAGTGGTGTCTTGTGAATCAGGCTTACTGGGATGTTTCCCACAGTTCTTTTTTTCTTTTTCCCCAGAGTAGCATGTGATATATATATATATGTATATATATATATATATATATATCTTTCCATCCTTCCAAATTGCTTGTTAGCTGTTGTGCTTTGCAATATCACCTTTCTACTGCCCAAATCTAGTGAACTCTGGGCCTTACTATTCTCAAGAAACTGTCAGGATCTTTCACTCATCCTGATGTTTCCGCCACAAGCTAAGCAGCTTTCCTTCTTTTGTTTATTATTTCCAGTGCCACCTCTAGCACCCCATTTTCCCTGTGTGTTCTCTTGCCTCCTCCCCTCTCTTTCTCAGAGACAGGGTACATCAAAGATGCATTTTGCATGTATTTCATATTTCTCAGCTTGTATTTGGCCTTTCCTTGGCTGAAATTAAATGAAGAATCATGCTGTTCTCCACAGTGTCCTCCAAAAGGGTATTGTTAGGCTGTGTGACAACTGGCTTGTCTTTACGTGCACAGAGGAGTGTGGATGAGCAATGGCAGCTCGTAGCTGGAGCCTACCCAAGTCTGAGGGATCAGCCTTATACCCCACTGCGAAATTATGCTGAAAGGGACCTAGAAGGGGCATGCAAGTCCATCCATTGCCTGAGGCTGTTAGCATTAGCTATTCAACCGAGAAAAGAATATCCTGGAAGTCAATTGCATTTCACACTGGACACCTTGAACAGCCACCTATCAATCCACAAAGAAGCCTTCTCTCTCACCTTTCCAGGGTTCTCTATCTGCCTTGCCCAGATTTAAGACAAGAGAAAGGAGTAACAGACAAATGGCACTTCAAATACCTGTGTTTCATCTTAGTGAAATCTAAGACTGGCCTTTAGGCAGGCACGTAGATGCCTGTCTATTTGGAATAAATGAAAGAAAATGTTATCCCTAAACATTGCCAAAGAGATTACTGAAAATGACATTGATTGGCTTTACACAGGAGTATGCAAAGACACACTCATCTTTGTTTGACAGCTGCAAAATGTACTGCTTGAGATCCTGCTTCAAATCTAGGGCTTGCTCTGCAGGTGTGTGGCCATTCCTTCTTTTTGTTCAGTTAATGTGCTGACAGAGAGAGAAGCTTTAGTGAATGAAATGCACATGCCACTCAAATCAGCACTCCTTTTTTCCTCAGCAATGTCCAACACGCACTTGGATATATCCTTCCCTCTCAAGTAAGCTGCCACTGCTGCCATACACTGTGTACTGTTAAATACTCTTGGGACAGTCTTCAGTGCTAGAGGTATCATACAGAGGACGGAAAGCAGAGTCTGCTACCAACCTGCAAGAGTGTGTGATTGGCATACTGGATGTGAATGCAAGGCACATCTGCAGATACTGTACAACTCGTTATCACTACTGCCTTGAGAACTTGCTGCAGCCTAAATAATGCAATAGGCTGTTTCTCATTAACTTACCCTCCTTCTTAACTTTCCAATGGTGGTGTCCCCTAAGATGACCACACATTTGTTATGGATCATTGGAGACAATGTTTTGGATGTGTGGATTGCTGCAAAATGAACTATGATGTAAAGTCTACTAGAGACAAATTATTTCTTGTCCTAATTAAATCCTTCATTTATATAAAAACATGTCTGTCAATAAAAAATAAAACAAATTCAGGAAACATAACAGTCAGGTGATGGCACCTCTGACACTTTACGTCTTAACTGTTTCCACTTCTACAAACAAGAAGTGGTCTGCAATGATGGTCTTACCAGAACTCCACAGTTACCTCTGGAATTTAGTACTGTTTTTGCTCTTGCCTCTGCTTCTAGGAAAGCTCTCCCTAGACCTCTACCAAACAAAAGGAATTTCAGGTGTTCCTAAACTAGATAAAATGGCAACACGTAAGGAAAGGACTAGAGTGGGAAGCACTGGTTATGATGCATATATGAGAAACTAACCCTAACCTTGTCTTCTTGGTCAGTTTGTTATTCAGCTGCTTTAACTGCACAAAAAAAAAGCAATAGAACATAATTCCTGAGGTACAGAAATTGGAAAAATGTTAAGATGCTTGACATCATAAGTAATTTTTTTTCTGTTAAAAATATTAACATTAAAAAGAAACAAAAATCCCTTTTCACCCTTAAATTACAGGCAGATCTTTCATGCTGACAGAGCAGCTCACCACATGAACTAAGGCACTGATTATGTTCTCAGCTTTCTTAGCCAGTGAGAGATGCAAACCTCAGAAGTGTTCCTTGTTCAGCTGGGTCACTGTGCAGATTCACATGCAAGTTCCCAGTCCAATTTCCTCATCCATTTTTGGACAGGAAGTTTAATGATTTGAGGGCAAATGCTCAGTTATCATTACATAACCTGGTGTGTGTCCTGGTTCTTTTTCTGTATGCATATAGGAAGTCTGGTATCTTTGCCCTTCTGTGTTGTGACTGTGACTTCTCCATTTTCATTCTGTCATTACTCAGGCTATTTCTGCTCCTCATACACTAGTAAAAATACTACCTTACCTTCTTTAGCTTTGATAACTGAAAAGTGTTGTCCTTGAGTCACTTTACTGCCTTACTAATTTCAAACAGTTACTACCATTTTCCATCCAAGCTATCAGCTCCTCCCACATATTTACAAATCATTGTTACAGCAGCTGTATTTGTATCCATGTATGGCTGTCTACCTTCCTCAAATGCCAGTTTTTGACAGGTTAGTAAAATGTTCCTTATCCATTGCTGGCAGTCAGCCTCACTTCCTTCTTCAACCCTCTCACTTCTGTTTTTATTGTATATGTCCATTTTAGAGTCCATATTACTGGCAGGGGTTTTATTCTGCTTTTGTTTAACAGCATCAGTTTCAGTGCTGTTTTTATAGGCATTATCAGCTCTAGTTTGAAACACCAGAACAAGCTCGTTTGCATGACTGTGCTGCTGAGGAATCACGCTGCTGCTGCACACATAGCTGTGCCTTGAGCAGATGTCCTGCAGATGAAGCCAAGGATTTGGACTCCTGTACCACAGGCAAGGCAGTGCGTGTAACCATGCTAGGGGTGACAACACGCTGGTGGCAAACAGTGGTCTCTTACCAAGCTTGGACTGCAACCCCTGCTTATTTCCTGCCCCTCCCAATCCAGAGGAGCAGGCAGCCACGTCTCCTGGTTGTACACAATGGCCTTAGCTCCAAGAATAAAATCTTCACTTTTCTCCAAAGACAGCTCAGCACTGAAAATCTTCCATTCATCTTCCAGCTCTGCCATGAGAAGATCCCAGCAAACCTGCCCTACCTGTCCCACTATTTCCCACAGGGATTAACTGTTCATCTGAAAACAGCAGCAAGCTTTTAACAATACATATTCAGTAGCTGTAGGAGCCAACACACAAAGCATGCAGGAGAAGGAAGGAATTTGCTATCTCTAAGCTGTGGGAAACTATAAACTTCACCTATCCAATGCATGAGTAACACTCATTTTCTAGAATACTTGTGCCCCATGAACTTATTCCATAAAGAAAAGAACTAACATTGTTTGGTGTTGGTATTTGCAGGTGGAGAGCTGCACTTGTCACAAAAGGGGCCTCAAAAAGGTGATAAGCATCACCAAGCAACCCCAGAAGATGCAGCAGACCTCCAGTTTTTACTGAAGCCACTTAAGGCTCATAATGTCTGTACACCTTACAGAAGGATAATGTCAACTTTAATTCAGTTGTTGAATTAAACTAAGAAACTACAAGTGAAGAACATCAAAAGCAGGCAGAAACAGAAAATTCCTAAAATGGGATTTCAAATCGGCAGGCTGATTGTTGTGAAAAACCTTACATGATGTTGAACATGGCAGTAAAAAAAAAAAAAGCTGTGCTTACCAACTGTTTATTTTCCAATATTCTCCCCAAAATTAATTTTGATTCAGGATTTAAAAAATAAAGCAATAAACATGCCAAGGAGAAATAGTAACTTTTCCTCCATATCTTTAAATCCGATGGGTAAGATCACTTAATACATTGGCCTCCACTGATTACAGCAATGCTGCAAAACCAAACATTTCATTGGAGTGGCCCTTCATAGAGCATTAGCTTGACTCTTCCAGCTCTTTTCTCCAAACTCCTATCATGTCAGAGATGAACTACCCAGGGGATACATTTAACATTAATGCAGAGACTGCTAAACTTACATATCCGAAATGTCCTTTCCGGGAACAGTTGTAGCAGTACACTACAGCAGAGCGCTCAGAGTGAGAACTGGCTGCCTTGATGGGTCCTGGCTTTGTCTGAAAGATAGAAATAGGCAAGAATTAGGTCTGGCAGTATTCTGAATGCTGAATTAAAGATAAATTTAAATGACATAAATATAATTTTGTTATGCTTAAATCAAAACATTCCTGCTTGCTGTTGGAATATTTAAAAAAGAAGCCAGTGGCTCATATTACTCTAATTTTGCAGAGCAAAGTTCAGACTGAGCATCACAGGTGAGGTGGGAAGAGGCATCCCCTGTATCTATTCCACCTGGCACTGTTATTTCAGCTCTGAATACAAGAAAACAAACTGTTGATTCATCTCTTTCCCCTCCTCCTTGTCTCCCAACACCCTCCGGCTCTCACAGATGCCCCACCATCCCCTAGGACAGATAGGGCTATCAGCTATTGCATCCACCAGCTGGAGATGCATATTTGTGTGTTGCTGAACTAGCCTTGCTTAAAGCCATACAGCAAAGATCTGATGGAGATGCAGGACCTTCACCCACTGCATTCCCAAGCTTATGTTTGCTTCCAACAGCAGTGCCCAGGAGTAGGCACACTGCAGGAGGACCTGTCAGTCTTTCGAAGAGAATGGGGAAGTGGTTCTGCTCCAGGCAGAGGGGACACCAAGCTATGGTCCACAGCTGCTCCTGGGGCTTGCATAAGGTGAAGGAATGCTCCACTTACATAAGGTGAAGCATGCTCCATCAAATTCAAGGGAACAGGCAGCTCTTTTTTTTCCCCATTTAGCACCACTAAGTGGAATACATGAATATACTGTCTATATCTTTACTTTTCTCACACACAACACATTCATTCCCTGGAGAAATAACTGCCACAGAGCCTGTACTGTTGGAATGGGTATGAACAAAGGGTGCATGAATGCTAGCTAAAATCCAACAGGGCAAAAGAGTGACCTTACTGTTTCCAGCACTGCATGCATTTCCTCTGCATGCACTGCATGCATTTCCAAAAAAAGTAGCATTTGGTAAAGCTCAAGACAATAATTGCTTTTTTCTTTAAAACTGCTTCACCCTATTCTTCCACTGTTAGAGCTGCTGTGTTCCATATAGGCCTCCAGAAGAATGACGGCAGTACTTGTAAAATAGGCAGAAACAACAGAAATCTTCCAATGCCGTTTTTTATTAATCTGATCACACCTGCAGGGTCACCTTATTTTGAACTTCTTCAGCCTTGGGTTTAAATGCATGTTTCTGATTCATGTTCCTCAGTTCACATTCACTCACCAGGAGGAGGCTAAAGGAAGACCAGGTAGAGTGACACATCCAACAGTGATTTGTCACAAAAGGCAGGAAAACAGGGAAAGGAAAAAAACCCACCACCTATAAATTAATTTATATATTTTTCATCCATGTCTTACAGCAAGAGCTATCCAGCTAACAGCAGTGTGTGACCTACTAAACCAGCTTAGTTTTCCAGGCATCCTTTTACCATAAACACGTAACAGGCAAGGAAAAAACCCCACCAAATGCTAACATCCCCTTGAGGAAAAATCTGTGGGTTTAATTTACTGGATCAATCACCTGTATTCTAGTTAGTTTTCAGAATTACGAGTGGCCCCCAAAATCACCTCCACTTTGGACAGGGCTCCTAGAAAGCTAAAATAAATCCTATGAGTGATACCTTCCTCTACCTTCCCACCATATAGAATTTTAGCCATATTAAATCTGCTTTCAAAGCTGAAGTCCACTGAAGCCCACACTGGGATGCTGCCACAAAGCCCCAGAAGTTTCCCTCAGTCAGTCCCTGTCTGCTCAAGAGCTCTGTGACCAGAATACTAGTGCAACACAGCTGTCAAAAATAAAGACCACTACTTTCTGCCATGTAGGCCTTAAAATTCACCATAAAATCAGTCTGAAAATGACATGATTATACTATTTGGTCTTTGCAAAGTGCAGTGTAACAGTAACAATAACCATGTCTTATTCCAGAGATACAATCCATTACATTCCAAGATGTTGTCTGCTAAAATGCCTGCTGTAGGGTCTCACCCCTTCCTCTGGTGAATGGCCATCCTTCAATGCAAGTAAGTATGATTTTGGCCATTGTTAGTGTTCTTGTGTTGAAACTCTAGTAAAACTCACACTGACTTCAAAACACTTATTATTTACAGGAAAGATAAGTAAGATCTTCCACTGTTTTGAATTGGGCTTTTGAAAATACATGCCAGCTGCTTGGATACCGACAAGAAATGGACCATGCTCACCAAAGCACTGTAGTGATTTATATGGCTAAATTAGTATGTGAAGAGCCTTTACACACTCCTTACTAGGTGCCTCAGTGTAATCCAAAAGTTAAACACACAGCAGGAGATGCAAACAGCTCACCTGGATCATAAGTTATGCCTGGCATTGGCTGGTGGGTTTGCCTCCCAGTGCCAAACACTTCCAGTTCTCAGTGCATTTCTGAGAGCTGGAACTCAACAGATGTGCCAAATGCTGGTTGCACTCCCACCCTGCTCCCATCCCTCCACTACCTGCCGAGCAGCCTGGTCTTGCTAGGGACCAGCTAAAACCACCTGAAAACTGGGTGTAAACATGTACAGTGGGGCTTTCATTTACAGCAGGAGTCCCACAGACTTCACAGCCCCCAGTAACCCCAACTGCCCCCCTCTGAGCCAGCACCCCCCACCCCATTTACTTCTGTTTAGTTAATAGAAAAGGTCACATTCAAGTAAAGAAATTAAACTGAATACTTGCAGGTCAGATTACAACTCTACATAACTTTACTCCTTTCCAAAGCTAAACAAAAAAGGAAACCCTTGTGTTATAAACCCTCTGTTTTCTATTTATTTAGGGCTTAAAAAGGCATCTAAAGACTCCAGCCATATGGGTACAAAATAAACTATTCATCAGCATAGCTTCTTTATGTTATAGGGTTATGGGATTTTTACAAACATTTAAATAATCTACATTTGTAGGGTGATATCTTGGAGATTACTTCACTATCAATATATAGAAGTAATAACTTGGTAGATAACATTACCTATGAAAGGTCCATCCCATCTGCTATTCTTGCTGAAAGCTTTTCATGCACCAGTAAACTCAGTAAATATCAGAAGATAAAGCATAAGCCTACCACGCCATGGATTTACTCCTAATGTCTCCTCAAAGTGCAGCCTGATGCAATGATTACAAATGATTTTTCTTCTAATGTCATTTTACATAACCCTTTTTTCTGCATGAGTAGTTAGTGCAGAATGAATGAATGAATGCCATTAAAACAGTTAATCATTATCTGGGACACTGGCCTTCCTCCCTTCTCAACTAGGAATCTCCATGACAAAGGCCAAGAGATCAAAATGCCAGGGCTGACTCTCTGGCCTATTTCTGACAGCAATTTTTTATGCAAATGGACCTGCTGGGCAGCTCCCTCTGTGACCTTGAGCTCCCTTTATCTGCACTGACTTTGATCCAATGAAGGCTTGCTTTTACGAAGCTCATTACTACTTAGGATCTGCAATCTGGCTAAATCTCACTAATTGCAGAAAATCTTCTGGTCTCCATTTTTGTGTATTTCTCTGCTACTCTGCATTATGTGATGCATGGAGCTCAGCGATGTGCAGGACCAGATGCAAGACCCTTTCGTGCAACTGAAACTGCCCATGTTGGACAAACATGGCACGCTTCATGATTCAGATCAGTATGATGACATACACCCAGCTTCTCTGACAGCCAAGGGCAGCTGGAGCCCACTCTGCAGTCATCTCTCATAACTCACCAAGATACATCTGACCCAAACTGATAAAATACCTGCCAAAAGAAAAGCTTCCCACTATATCTTGTATGCCAGTGAAACCACTCTGACAACTAAAAAAATTCAGAAAAGTCACCGTGCCATCCACTCTTGTAATCAGGTGAAACCAAGGTCATGCCCTCAACTGATCCATCAGTGTCCATCTACCATCACACTGCCTCTGCCTAAGGCTTGCACGGAAGGGTTGGTTTTATTTTTGTTACATCCAGCACCAGTTTGGCTAACTCTGCTTTAGTATGTGAGGGAGTAATTCTGTAAAACTTTTACTGAACACATCCCTGGGCTGGCTTGCTACGGCCACTTATACCACTTCCAAATCACCCAGCACCACTCTTGTGTGCTGAGAAGAGAGTGTTACTTCTTCTAATCCATTATTTCAATTGCTATGCTTATAACTAACCTAACAGATAATTTTTAGTGGGTTTTTTTGTTGTTGTTGCAATCTAAAGATAACTAATTAAACGGTGGATTAAAGAAAGAAGTGCAGGGGGAGGACATCTACACAACCCAAAATGCCAACACAGGGCATTCCTTCCAACAATGCACCCACCACAACCAATGCATGAGTTCTGCATACTGCACAGTCTAGTTTTGTGCAATTCACTGAGACAAACAAGATGTAAGACTGGGAGTAAAAGTCATTAGCAGTGATGTTTCACCAATTTCTTGAGCTACTGAAAGATGATCATCAAATGAATCATTACATACCATAGGCAGTAGACTCAAGTTGGACAAGGAAACAGTCAGAACAGCTCTATCACTGCAAAATGTATACTTTCATTTTCCCTTTACAGATTATCATAATCTACTTGCATACCAGCTGAAACAATGGCAGGTTAGCATCATTCCCTTATATTCAAAATTGCCAATGTAAGATATCATGTAATATTGTAATTATACTAAGGGGTTTTGTTGTTGTTATTTTCTTTAACCATGTCATGCACCCAGTAGACTTGCATTCCATTGGGTAATTCCTTAATTAGGCAGATTTTTGAAACAAATATTATGCACACAACAGACCGGAACGTCTCCTTTGGAGTCTTCCTAGTCTATCAGGTGATTGCATCATTAAGCCACACATGCTACGTAGTAAAAACCCTCATGAAAATTCATGGCAGAAACATATTGAGCTTGATGCATACTAATAAAGGAGAAAAAAACCAAACCTAGTATTTTGATTTTTAAGTTCCCCAAACAATTATAAACCAAATAATTTCTTTACCAATTTTATTTCTTCATTTATTCAGCTATCTAAA